TTTCAAATTGCCACTTGTATTTGATCCCATTAGCGAAGTGATCTATCACCTCCCTATCTGTAATATCAAAGACTTGGGCTCGTATTCAACAAAGCGGTGATAATATTGCTGGAAGGTTTCATCTAGTTTTTGTTCGCAAGTTCTAAGCTCATTTTGGGTACTTGGGTGGGTGAGGATGCCATAAAAATTTTCACAGAATTTGCGCTGAAGCTGTCCCCAAGTATCAATGGAGCGGGCTCATAGTTTATCAAACCAGGCGAGAGGCACAATGTCGAGTGCCATGGGAAAATATAACACTTTGATGTCGTTATCGCCACCTGCCAACTCGATGGACTGAGAGTAGATGCGCAACAATTGGTTGGGTTCTATCTTCCCGTCATACTTGGTATGGTTGGATGGCTTAAATTTGTAGGGAAGCCGAACAGAGAGTAGTTTGTCAGAAAAACATGGGAACCTATTTGGTGGGATGCCAGCTTCTCTATACTTGGACTCTCCCCTGCCTTCCCTATTGCTGTATTGGTGCCCATGATAGGCCGACTGTGTGGCACCCTGATTCCTGTTCTGGTTACCCTACGTCCCTAGACGGGAGTGGGCTGGTACTCACTGTTCTCCTCCTTGGTTGCCCTGTGGTCCTAGACAAGAGTGGGCTAGTGCCCGTGCCTCTGGTCCTCGAGAAGGGTTAGCTTGGGATGTCGCCTTTGTAGCCTGCATCTGAAGGGATATGGATTCCAAAATGACTTTGAGTCATTGCTGATCTGGAGTAGGGTTTTCTATGGCCGCCATCTCTTCTATCAGGGCATAGACATTGGCGTAGGGCATAGTAAAGACCTTGTGGCTAGCTACTTCCATGAACTCAGGCTCAAGGTTGCGTGATGCAGAGGCTCTGACGACATCACGGTCTTGGCACTGTCGTTCTGCTTCATCCCGTAGATGCTGTTCATATGCTGCTTCTGCAACCAAGCGTCGTCATTCAACATCTCGACAAGCCGATTGATACTGCTGCCACTCCTCCCTGTGGTGTTGTGCGCGGTTGTGCCAAGCCTGTCGAGCTTTGTTCTTCCTTTCCCTAGCCGTCTTCTGCTCATCTGTCTCTTCGTTGGGTGGCACAGTGTCCAAGGAGATGTCGGACAAGGTTTCCTCTCCATCTTGGATATCTGGAGGGTTAGGCATAGGGATCTGAGATGGTTGCCCAGCCATAAATACCTCTCTGGAGTGACTTGTGGCCGAGTGAGTTCTAGATTCTATAGTCGTCACAATGTCCAAGATCTCTGTAGAGCCGTGATCATTGTTGTCTACTGCAAGAGTTCTACCATCCTGATAAGGTAAGAGTTCCACCATGCCAACTAGACGAGATGGATCTATTAAAGAAGTGCTGGGTCGAGCACCCAGTCAATGGACGATGCCTCCTTCGGGTGTGATGGATAAAACCAAACCTCTCTAGCACCCATAAGAGGGATCTCCTGCTCCGACTGCACGAGGTAACTAATCGTATCTTGATGGATTCAGGCTGAATTCTTGAGTCCGAGTGGAAAATGAACTGGGTCTTCATGTTAGACTTCAGATGGGATCTCTAGCCTGGACAAAGGTAACATGTCCGAGTAGGAGTCATGGTTGATGGTGACCTCCTAAGCTCGAGTTGATTCAGAAATTGAGAGCTGCAAAAACTTCTCAACGAGTTGATCTAGTGTGGTCGTCAAGACGTCTGGTAAGGCTTGAGGCGCCGGGATCTCTATGAGACAACTTTGGAGCTTGCCATTGTCGTCAGCCTTGCAGATCCAGGAGCCAAAGATGAAAGTGACACCCACCGAGAAAATCATGTCGTCGAGGTCCGCCGAGCTCTCGATCGTGAAGTCGCCGAAAACCCCTACCTGGCGCGCCAGCTGTCGGTGTTTGATGACCGACAACCCGTCATGGGGGTACCTAGGACTATGTTTGGAGGGCTTCGGCATACGTAGAACTCGACGGTAAACATAAAGAAACGAACGATTTATATTGGTTCGGGCCCTCTTATCGAGTAATAGCCTTTACGTCCAGTCGGTTTGTAGCCTTTTGCGTTGGATTGATTGTATGATTGTTAGGGTTATAAGGGGGTTTACCGTACCTCTCTTTATATAGGGGAGAGGGTAAGGGCACGTTTCTAGTCCTAGTCGGTTATAAGAAAAGAGTCATAGTCCTATTACAGAATCTAACTTTCATAGTAAGCCAACTAAGTCGACTTGGAATAGCTTGAAGTCCACGCCACCTTGCCATCCCAGGGCCCATCTAAGTTGTACCCCCGTGGAGAACCCCTAGGACCCTGGTCCGTCAATTTCTAACGAACATTTTAATTTTTTTTTATCTATTTTCAACTAGTATGATGAAATATATGTCCTTAGATATATTTTGTGTGATTTTTAATTGAATTTGAGGCCATTTAGTTCAAATTTGAGTTAGTTTCAGTAATCATGTTTAAATTTATTTTAACTACAAAAAAATAGTAAATTGGTTCAAAAATTGTTGAAAACCTTTTACAAAAATATATACGTAATCTGTTACATTAAATTATGGAGGCACATAGAAGCATGAGGGAAAGAGCTCAGCAATAGTGTGGAGGAGCGCAGGGAGAAAGAAGATGACACCGATGGATCACAGGTAGAGCGTAAGGACAACCACTGATGCGAGGAAAAGGAGCTTGTCGACAATGTAGATAAGCATGAGAGAAAGAGCTTGATGGCGGCGCGGAGGGTGAGTTTGAGGAGGAGGAGGTCAGTGGTGGTGTGGAGGACGAGCTATGGGAGGAGAAAGGAGGAGGTCGGTAAGATGGGAGAGAAAGATTAAGAGAAACACAGGGCTTGGTTGAGGAATCGGTGATAGGCCCTGTTTGGCACAACTTCCTCAATAACTTTACGAGCTATTGTGAGTTGTTTGGTAAAATTAAACGCGTAGGAGAAGAAGATGGGAAGAAAGAGAATGAAAAGAAAGTAGGGGATTATAGTAATTTTATTCTTTTGGTCTACTGTGTGAAGTTGTTGTACCAAACGGGTCATGAAAATAGCTCAACTTCACTAAGAAAGCTACTCATGAAGATATAAATCTAAAAATGACTTTAGTGGTGAAGTTGAGCCATGTCAAATGGGGCCTTATTTTTATGGAAATGCTCCCTATAGGGCATGCGGACTGACGGACGGACCGGACCACTCCGCGCCCGTCTGCGCTGGGCGCCGCACGCCCCAGCCTGCGCCCCTTGCCCGGAGTCGCTGCTCCTACCATGGTTGTGTGCTCCATCTGCCGGCGAGATGCATGCGCCGGACCTTCGCGTCGCCATGAGCTCCATGCGCCACTGTGAGCCCGGCCCAGTCGCGCCTCCTGCTGTGGCTACGCTCCATCCGCCGGTGAGATACCCGTGTCGAACCTCTGTGCCGCCGCCGACCTCCGCGCCACCGCGAGCTATATGCGCCGCCGCCAACCTCCGTGTCGCCGCGAGCTCCATGCGCCGCTACTGACCTCCGCACGGTTACCTACCTCCACGCCACCGCAAGTTCCACGTGCCGCCACCGACCTCCGCAACGACGAACCTCTATTCATCCAGGCAGCAAGGTGACATTGCGCTCAAAGCGCATGTTGCAAGCGTATGCTTCGAGTGTTTCAGATGTTTCAGAGGTATGTTGCAAGTGTTTTATATCAATGTTGTATGCAAAAGTAGATCGGGATGTTGCACATGTTCCAATCGCTATACACGTATGTTTAGTGTATGTTCCAAATGTTTAATATGTTTTTAGATGTATGTTCCAAGCATTTTATTTGGATGTTGTAAAAGTAGATCTGGATGTTGCATATATATGCAAGTGTTATACGTAAGTTGCAAGTGCTTTTATCTGGATATTGCAATGTTTGCAATGGATATACACGTGTTTTTAATTTTTTTTTCTAGTGTTTTGCAAGTGTTTTAGACGTATGTTGCATGTATTTAAACTATTTTGAACATATATCGTAAGTGTTTTATTTAAATGTTTTAAAAATAGATCAAATATTGCAAGTATTGAATATGACCCACTCGTCGCAGCCACGTGGTGCAGCTGCTTGGGCGCTGGGCGAACGGTCCTCATGCACGGTTGGGCGGTGCGGGAGACATCCGGGCGCCGTGGGCACGCCAAACAAGCCGACACGAGAAACAGGATGCGGGAAAATGGTTCAGACGTCCGGAAGCCAGCATCTCTGTTATTTTTACCAACGTTCGACTTCAAATGTAAACAATGCATGGGAGAAGGGAAAGGCAGAGTTTGAGGCTATTTCTCTGATTTTTATTTTACACGGTAAGTTGAGGAGAATTCCAAACAGGCTCTGGCTCTTTCCTTGTACCCCGATGGCCCAACAAGGCCCAATGGCCCAATATTTCTGCACCTTGACGGTTTCTGTTTCTCCCCCACGCGCATCGCTCTCCTTCCGTCGGCCGGCTTCTGCTTCTCCCTCCAAAATCCCAACCAAACCTAGCGGGCGGCGGCCTGTATTCTCTCATCCCTCCGGCGTGCGCAGGGCCAGGCAAGGGCTCTGGGCGCGGGCGTCTGAAGAGCGCCGGCTAGGAGGACCACGGCTGGGCAGCGGCAGCCGGGACGCTGCGCCTGCGCTGCCCGTGGCGGGCGGGGCCGCAGCCGGCAGCGCGACTAAGCGCCTGCGCCTCGGGGTTGCGGCTGCTCGGGCTGCTGAGCGAGTGTAGGACAGAGCCTATGCTGGCAGCAGCACTTCCGCAGTCTGCAGAGGCACTGAGGAAGGAGAAGGTCTGACCTATTAGGGTCTTCAGCAAGCCACCAACAGTGAATCAAATTTGTAAGATAGTTTGGTCAATTGGCTTTCCATTTGAATGTATTATTGATTGCAATTTGTGAATGTTTGTGAAACACTGGAACTACTATACTATGGCAAGTGAGCATTACTTTACTTGTGTGAAACACGGGCAGCAAGCCACCCCTGTGCACGGCTCCAGTCTCTCTGGCGTGGTCGCCGGTCCAGTCGGCGCCTCTCAGATGGCCCGCGGGTTGTGGTTCCTCTCCCGCGCGGTGGGTAGGCTGCGGCCGCTGCTTGTCCAGGGGCCGACGAGGGGCTTCTCTGCCTCCGCACCGGAGCAGCTCCATGTCTGCGTCGTTGGCAGCGGCCCCGCCGGGTTCTACACCGCCGACAGGGTAGGGGGTTTCACGACTCGTGGTCCGTTTTTATGTTGTTGATCGCATGGTTCTTGCTTTGAAGGCCTTTGTGTTGGCTGTGCTCATCCATCCTCCATGAGTATTTGCTTCTTAGTAGTTGATGATTCCTTTAATATTTAGCCATGATGTGTGCTGCATTCCAGTTTTAGTGTGTGTAGGAATTTCAGTAGTAATACTCTTAATTCCATATGCTCTGGTGGAATATTAGTTTACCAATCTGCAAAATTCTGTATAAGGTTCAAATGCTAAAATAACGATAATGTCATGGGATTCAGATTTATATGATCTCACTTGAACCATATTTCCTACCCACTACTTTTAAGGCATTTCTGTTGGATATATGTTCTTCAGAGTTATTTTTTATTAATATTTATTATGTGTTTTTCTGCGTTGTTGATTGGGTGCTCCTTTTGTGGATTAAGCAGATGTTGAAGGGTCATGAAGGAGCACAGGTTGATATAATTGATAGGCTACCCACACCATTTGGCCTAGTCCGTTCTGGAGTGGCTCCAGATCATCCAGAAACAAAGGTGGGCATTTACCATTGTTATTGTCTAATTTTGGAACTGAAAATCAATCAACTTTTTATCTTTCAACAACTGCAACTAAGTGAAAAATACTGGTTTAGAGTTAGTGACGTGTTTCTATTTAGTCACTTAGTGTTGTGTAATCTGATTATAGAAAAATATTGTTTCATTCATGAAATGCAAAGACCTTTTGCTAATTAATTAACTAGTGCTTGGGGCATGCTAGGAACAGCCTTGTCATTATTTGATTGTGCCTTACTTTCCAATCTTTTGTGCTTATGACACTACATGAGCTGTTCATAAATTTGCCTACTTAATTTTACCTTCAACTTTCCAACAGATTGTGGTGAATCAATTTTCTCGTGTAGCTGCAAATGGACGCTGTTCATTCTTTGGGAATGTAACTCTGGGAAGGGATATATCTCTGTCAGAGCTTCACAAAACATATCATGCTGTAAGTTTTAACCTCAGATCAAATTTCCGTTACCCATGAGGATATCACAGTATCACCTTTCTCATTTCTGTTATGTAATTTTTATCCATAACTTACATAAGTAAATGGTTGAGATTTTATTTATTGATCAACAGGTTGTTCTTGCTTATGGTGCAGAAAGTGATAGGTCACTTGGTATTCCTGGAGAGGTATGACTTTTGACTATTGTCAATCTTTATGCCACAGCTCGTGGTGGTTATTCAAATATTGCTTATGGTTCAATAACATCATTCTAACTGTAATCTTATAGCTATTCGCTATGTTTAATCAAATATTGCAGTAGCAAGGGTTTAGTAGTCAGCAAGGTGGATGTGGCGTTTACAATGCTAGCATCTTCATTGTCTACATTCTTGTGATTACCTCACTTTTAGATGGATCTGTTTACTTCTAGTATCATCATTGTATTATAGGACCTGAGAGGAATTCATTCAGCTCGAGAGTTTGTCTGGTGGTACAATGGACATCCAGACATGTGCGACTTGTGTCCTGATTTGAAAAACACAGAATCTGCTGTTGTCCTTGGTCAGGTATTTTCGTTTTTCGATTTTGCTCATATGTAATAGCATTCAAACAGAGTACCAACATCTTGGGGCCAAGAGAACTGAGTCACAATTACACTTTTTTTTAACCTTGATATACAGTTGATCTATAATTTCATTTGAATTTGTGCTGCTCATATACCTTAATTTTCATTACTTTTTCTTGAAATACTTTTATGAATACAAGTTGCTGTAACACGATTAATTGCAGGGAAATGTTGCTCTGGATGTTGCTCGTATTCTTTTACGCTGTAAAGCTGAGTTGGCTACTACAGACATTACTGATTATGCATTGGATGCTCTACGTGGCAGCACGATAAGGTATCTTTTCACTTTAATAATGAACCAGACTGACATTTTACTTTATGGTTTACTGATAGATAACTTTTACTGATATTACATAATACTTAGTTCTCAATTAATGTTGCATGTAAAGGAAGGTATATTTGGTTGGGCGACGGGGTCCAGTACAGGCAGCTTGCACAGCAAAGGAGTTGCGTGAAATTTTAGGTATTTAAAGAATAATTGAATACTTGCAGTGTTTGACATTTGACACATGGTATTTTTATATTAGTCTATCTCATTGTCATGTTGTCATACTAAGTTTGACATAGTGTCCATGCAGGTTTGAAAAATGTTCGTATTTGCATCAAGGAATCTGATCTTTTGACCACACCTGCGGATGAGGTTTGTGTTGTAATGTGTATTATTACCTGTAGCATGGTTTACCTTTTCATTTTAAGCTGTGTAAGTGATCTCTCTCTCTCTCCCCATCCTGGGTTTCTGAAAATGGCTAATTTAGGATCAGGAGTTTCTGCTTTATCGTGGCAGTTAGGGCCATTTTATGTTGTCTTGTGTTGATTTTAGGCAATTTTTTGTGTAACTAGTATTGTATTGATTATAGGCAAGTGTTCGTACAGCTACCGGTATGAGATATTGGTTGCAAATGTTATGAGCTAATCATTTGCTGGTACTAAACCCACAGCAATTATAAGGCTGCTGCTTCATAATGTCTCACTATTTAAATATTCTGCTTTCAACAGTCCTATAAATTGATTTACCTAGTTCCCTTTCACCTTTTCTTTGCTTCTGATGAAGGAAAGCTTGCTATCTGTTTGCAGGAGGAGATGAGGAATAGTAGAATCCAAAGAAGAGTTTATGAGTTGCTGTCGAAAGCTGCAAGTGCGCATGGGGGCAACAATTACAATGACCAAAAGGAGCTTCATTTTCTGTTTTTCAGAAGGCCTACCAGGTTCATCCCTGCAGAAAATGGTTCCACAATTGGTGCTGTTCAACTTGAGAAGACAGTTTTAAAAGGTCTGACGTAGCGGGTGTTGAAATGGATCTTCTTTGTCATTTTCCTCTTGAGCTTTCTCATAAGTATTCTTGTTTGTTATGTAGGTGATGAAGTAACTGGGAAGCAGGTCGCTGTTGGAACTGGTGAGTTTGAAGACCTAAAATGTGGGTAAGTGCTTTGGCTCATGTTTATGCTTTCCTGTTCTTTTTTTTGACTGCTTAACCATAGATTTTTAAGACCCGTCTAATCTGCTACCTTCTTCTTAGTCTGGTCTTGAAAAGTATTGGTTACAAATCCTTGCCTGTACAAGGTTTGCCTTTCGACAAAAACAGAGGTGCATAAAATTTCATTTTTCTTTTTCCTTCTACCTAGGAGCTTGTACACTCTTTCTGTTTTTCTTTTTGATCCATCAAGAGCATATGCAATTATTTTTGCATGATGGCCTTTGTTTAATTTTAGGAGTTGTGCCAAATTTAAGAGGAAGAGTCCTGAACAGTGAATCAGAGACTGCCACAGTAGAAAGAGGCCTGTACGTGGTAGGATGGTTAAAGAGAGGACCAACTGGGATTGTTGCAACAAATCTCCACTGTGCAGAAGAAACAGTAGGTACCTTTGTTCCATTGCTATCTTTCATTCCTATGTGGTGGACACCCCCAGCACCACTGGACGCCACAATGCCTCAGAAACCATGGGTGGACCCAAGGAACTTAGTTTGCTAAGCTTTGCAAACACCCATATCAGATTGTTTTTGGTTCTTTTCTGACAAACTTAGCATGCATTTGGTTTTGGGACCATGCGGGTTGGGTCGGAGCCAACCCAGTTTTCTGGGTTGGAGTGAACCCAGTTCTTGTTTGGTTGCAGGGTTGGGTTGGACCCAGTTTCTTGTTTGATTGGAGGATAAAGTGGGTTGGAGTGGTTCCATCTCTTGTTTGGTTTGAGGATGCGGGTTTGACAGTGAATATGCTCACCTTCTTGGTGAGATTACCACACACACATTAGCTGCCACAATTCAACACACACACGTTCAACAATTCAACAATTCACCAATTCTTAACAGGAGCTGTCCTTTGAGCACACCATTTCACCAATTCAACAATTCTCATTTGCTCAAGGGACAAACAAACAAACAATTGACATGCTCATTTTCTTTCTGTTTATAAACACATGCAAAAAAGCCAAAAGCCTGTCCCTTGAGCACACCAGTTCAACAATTCAACAGAGGCGGCAAGCAGGCACACCAAATCATATATCTTGAGCAACGTTAATCAAGTTCAAGCCTTACTTACATATACCAAGTTCAAGGCAATACAAGTTACACCACGTTCAAGCCTTACATAATATAAGTTCAAGGCTTACACACTGACATAAGATTCAAGTTCTAACAAAAGAAACATCCCACACATCTAAATCACCCTTACATTCCAGGGAACTTCTCAGCGATGAACATTGTGACCCAATTTAACTTGTGCTCAAATGGCAGTTTATAGAAAGCTCTGCCAATGTGAGGATTTGCCACCAAATGAGCATAGTAGAAAGATATGTGTGCTGAATTAAAACCAGGAAGTTGGTTCAAGATGTCAAATAGGTCATCTCGCAGCTCATTATCAGGTTTAGCAACCAATTTTATGGCAGCGGCAAGGTTCTCACCTACACTTTTGAAAGCGGCAACCAGCCCATCCTCCTCCATTTCAGCTACGTTGGCCTTCTTACTTGGTCTACTAGCAGAAGATGTTGCCCCTTGAGTGCTAGGCCCATCACTTGGACCATGCCCAGTAACCTCATCCCCCTCTTCTTGACTTTCAACCTGATCATCCTCTCTACCTAGAGGTGCACTTGAGTCTTTTGCAAAGTTTTCAGTAGCCATGGTATTGCCAAATATTGCCTCCATCTCTTTGTAGTGCAAGAGGGGCTTGTTCAAGAACTCAGCATCAGCCTTGTGATCCTAGACATGGAGGACAAATAAGTTAATATAATCTAACACTGGTCAATGAATCAAGAACTAAGCAAAAGATGGTAAGTTTACATGGACATGGCCGTTGTAGTGCTCCTCATCTAGTGTAATCATGCAGTTTTCTTCATCAAAGAGGGCACCACTCAATTTCTTCAATCTATTTATCTTTGCATACCTTTTCTGCCAGGTTTTCAAATGATTCTTGACTTGCTCACCAGTGAACCTTGTGGTGAACTTCTCATTGATAGCCCAACCATTGAAAAGGTGTTTCTTAAAGCCCTTTGATGTCTTCAAACCAGCAGCCACCAAATCATAGAGGTGAGAGAGCATTAAAGCAGACATTGCTGATGTCCACGTAGCATGCCCATTAGTTCCCCCACGCCCTTCAGCTACTTCCTCCATTGTTCTGCCACACAAAAACACAATCAGCAAAAGTAGCAGTACAAAATCAGCACCAAGATGTAGCCAAAATGGACATTAGTATCATTACAAAATCAGCACCAAGATGTAGCTGAAATGGACATTATCACCACAAATTACATAAAATTCAGCAAGCAACATGTTCATAAAAATAGCTAAAATTGTTATACAACTAAAAATTGTTATACAAATAGCATGGTGACAAATATGTCCTTACAAATAGCAATACATCAGCCAAGAAAGGCTTAAAGATGTTATACAACTAAAATTAGTTAACATTGTTGTTTTCTCGGTCTGCCCACATCTGATCTGCCAGCTGCTGCCTAAAATTAACCATAGCAGCATGCTCATTTGCTTGGCCAATGCGTGTGGAAGCATGGTTGTAGCTTGGCCAATTAGTATCCTCTGTGAATAACTCATCACGCCCATCTTGTATGACCCAATTGTGAATAATGCAGCAAGCACAAACAATATCTACTTGTGTTGGAAAAGGGAAGAATGGAGTAGCATCATCAAGAATTTTGAATCTCCTCTTTAGTGCCCCAAATGCCCGCTCTACTGTGACACGTAGTGATGAGTGCCTAAGGTTGAACAATTCCTTCTCATTTTGCACTGGATTACTTCCCCATTCATTTAAGTGGTACCGAACTCCACGAAAGGGGGGCAAAAATCCTGGTTTGGCTCCATATCCAGCATCGACTAGGTAGAATTTGCCTATCATTTGAAATTTGGTCATAATACTATAAACTAAAATTTGTATGTAAAAGTTGAGAGTTTACTACTCTATTACCTTGTGGGACACGAAGGCCATTCTCACGTTCTAAAGCATCACGTAAAACTAGAGCATCATGTGCAGCCCCTTCCCAACCAGCCAACACATAGGTGAACCGTAGATCAACATCTACAGCTGCCATTACATTTTGTGTGCAAAAGGATTTCCTACCACGAAAGGCATGTTCAATGTTCTTAGGAACAGATGCTCTTACATGAGTACCATCAATAGCTCCAATACAATCCTATTTTTTTCAAAAAGGTAAAGATTAGGGACCATATGAGGTTAGATTAATACAAAATTCAAAACAAAACAGGGATAAGCCTCACACCTTAAAGTAAGGATCCCATCTGTTGTTCCCTGCAATTTTGCTTGGAGTGTCCAAAGACGGGGGCCTAATTAGTTCCCCTCGCAGCTCTCCAATAGCATGGAGTACTTTGTTGAAATAGCGGCTAACTGTTTCTCCCGATCTATCAAAATTAGTTCCAACTAACCTATTTCTAAGGTTATGTCCCACTGTATTTAGAAACATACCCACCTGTTGCTCAACACACAAGTTACATGTATCTTGAAGCAAACCACGCTCACTAAAAAGATTGCAAAACCGAAAGAACTTGCCTCTATTAAGTCTTAACATGTTCAAGCAAGTTGTGTCATCCTTCCAAATTTTGTTATTTAGATAATCTACTCTCATCCTATCCCTTGCCTCCATAGGCCCATAGGTAATACCAACCCTTCTTCTACATCGTTTACGTTTCCTAGACTGAATAATCACCGCCATCATTGACAACAACATGTATGCAGCAGCAGCACAAGTTACAATCTTGGTCCTCCTATCCATCTACAATACAAGAATGAACCATCACACAAGTACTCTTCAGCCATGGTCTGAATGGCGGTGCATGCTCTCTGTATTATTTGAAAACATCATGCTTATACTTGACAATTGAAGTATGTTTACAGGAAGTATTATTTGAAGTATACTTGACATTATATGCAACAGATCCACAAATATTTTTTAGACAGATTGGTCTTACCTTGGCAGGGTCAGGGCCGGCGCTGGAAGCTTGGCAGGGGCAGGGCCGGTGCTGGAGGTGCCGCTTGGCAGGGGCGGTTCGGTTAGGGGCGTGGCAGAGTTCAGGGGCCTGGCGGCAGTCAGGCACGGCGGAGGGCAGGGATCCGGCGGATTTTTGAGGGGCGGCGGCGGCGAGATCTACTCCGGAGAAGCTGCGGCCGGGAGAGGAGAAAGTGCGGCGGGAGAGGGGCGGCGGATGGGGGCGCGGCGGCGCTGCGCATGGCGCGTCGCGCCTGGCGTCGGGGTCGGGGGAGAACGGGAGCGAGCGGTGAGAGGATTGCGCGAGAGGAACTGGGTCGAAACGATCCCTCCGTTTTGGAGGATTCACCCGGACCCGGATCTAAGGGGAATATACCCATGTGGGTTCAACCCAACCCAGTTCTCTTTACAACCAAACGTGGGATGAAGGGGGTCCGACCCGTTCCAACCCCCTCCGACCCAGTAACCAAACACATTCTTACATTGGCAATTATATCTTGAAGTAGCTTGATTCTGTTCAGGACTAACATTTAATTGTGACACAAAATGTTAAGAATTATACAATATACAGTTCTATTAGTATTGTTGGGGGAAGAATAGTTGTTTTTCCATGTTCATGACACAGAACAGAAACCTCAAGACCGTCAAAGTGAAATGTTTCACATTTGAGGTTGTTATTATATTTAATGGCCATTTTTATAGGCTATTATGACTTGTTTGGCTTATGGGTTAACAAACAGGTGGCTAGCATTCTTGAAGATGATAAGAAGGGTGTATTAAGGCCCCCATCTGATTCGAAGAAGCATGGAAGGACAGGACTTCTTGAGATCCTAGAACAAAAGAATGTCCGTTTTGTGCCATTCAGTGGCTGGGAGAAGATTGATTCCATGGAAAAGATGGCAGGGCAGCTGAGAAATAAGCCTAGAGAGAAGATCACAACCTGGGATGGGCTCCAGAAAGCTGCAAACGAGTAAAAGGATGGCCCTCCGAACGATTTTGTCAACATATATGTTTTGTATGAAAAGAATCACATTAACGAGAGAGAACCCTGTACTTAGTAATAAAAGATAACATCAATATATCTTCACTGGACAGCTTACTCATGTACAAGCATGCGGTGAAGGAATATACTGACAGTGATCGAATTTTATAAGTCCAGACTATGCTATTCCTTGTTGCAGTTCTGATAATATTTGGATGCATCATGGTTATTACTTGTTTCCTGAATAGAAGTTTTATATACCAATACCTATACCCATTATTGAATATATTAGTCTGAAAAATTGGCACAAGATACTTGCACATGCACCATATACTATAAGCAAGTGTGGAGGCTATAAACCATCATATGTTTTGTATGGTGCCGCAGATATGCAAATCTTGTAATTTGACGTCGTGAATTGGCCTCAGGAGGATGGCTGTTGGGCAGATTCTGTTTGTGAGTGCTTGATGTACCTGCTCCATTGTTGGCCTGGCTTTTGGGCAGACTTGCAGGCAAAAGCCACCAGAACGAGCAGGATTATGTCTTTCTCCTCGTCGCTCTTTGGTTCTATGATGCGCTTGTCCAGTATATCGTTGAGCTTCATATGAATCTCTGTTCGGCAGAAGAATGGAAGTAGTAGATCACCTGGGTGCTTACCCATGACTACTTCCATGGCGACCACACCAAAGCTATAGACATCACATTTCTCTGTAAACACCATGGTAGATGACAGTTCTGCGAAAATAAATAGAACCATGAATCAGCATATGTGTAACAAAACTGCATAATCACGTGGATTGTGTATGGTGCAGGACTGATGGTTTGTACCTGGGGCTATATAGCCACATGTCCCTGCAAAGATGGTACTCCAACTTGAGCAACTGTGCTTCTTCAACTTCCTAGCCATACCGAAATCCGTGACACAAGCCTTGAAATCACAGTCCAACAAGATATTACTACTTTTGATATCACGATGTATAATGGGTGTGCCACAGTCATGGTGCAAGTAGGAGAGAGCTTGAGCTACGTCTTTCACAATGGTGATTCTTTTCAACCAGTCGAGCTCATTGGCAAGCTGTTCCTCCTGCAAATTGGATGCTAAACTCCCCCTTTCAATGAGATCGTACACAAGGAATTTGCACTTGGAGTGTGAACAGTATCCATACAACTTGACTATGCACCGGTGCTTTACTTTTGTCAGCACTTGGATCTTAGCATGAAATGCTTTCTCATCAGTGCAGTCTTCAGCAGAGTGGAGCAGTTTGATAGCATAGATACCCCCTCCTTGGAGCTCAGCCCTGAAGACAGACCCATATCCTCCAACACCGATGCAGTATTTTTCATCAAAACAATCTGTTGCGTCTAGTATGTCTTGGAATGCAATCTTCCCATCAAAATTCCATATGGAGACCATACCTAGAGATTTATTTTTGCTGTCGACTTTTGAAAATTCTCTCCTCCTATAAACAATTGTCATGCATCCTAGGGCCAGACAAATGAAGCAAAAAAAAAAAAAAAAAAAAAGTAAGAACTAGTGCCATAATATGCTTATCGGTTTTTCCTTCCTTGATTGTTTTGTCGAGCTCTACCATGTGACATGGTGTCAAGCCATAGTGTGGATCACCACATGTATCCATATTGTGGTCAAGCGAAACCCTGGTATTGACTGAAAAGGAGGTTCCGCCACTCAAGCTGTTGTATGATAAATTCAGATTGTACAATTCTTGTAGCTTTGCAAGAGTCACGGGGATGGTTCCACTCAAATTATTTCTTCTCAAATCCAAGTCACTTAGGTCAAAACAATTCCCAAGCTCTTGTGGTATTGGCCCTGTCAATAAGTTATCTGACATGCACAAAAATGACAAAGCCCGGCATTGTCCTATCTCAGGTGGAATGCTTCCGGTGAGCTGATTGCTACTCAAATCTAGATATGAGAGATTCGATAGCAATCCTACCTCGAGTGGCAGAATACCATTCATCTGATTGGATCCAAGTGCAATCGTAGTTAGAGAGGTCAATTTCCAAAAGGAGGAAGGTATGCAACCATTTATTTGATTGTTGGAAAGATCGAAGAGCTCTAACCTTGTTAAATTTCCTATGCTTCCAGGAATGGGACCACTGATTTCATGGCTGGAAAGATCCCAGAGCTCTAACCTCTCTAAATTTCCTATGATTCCAGGAATGGGACCACTGATTTCATTGCTGGAAAGATCCCAGAGCTCTAACCTCTCTAAATTTCCTATGATTCCAGGAATGGGACCAGTGATTTCATTGACGGAAAGATCCAAGAGCTCTAACCTCTTTAAATTTCCTATGCTTCCAGGAATGGGACCAGTGATTTTATTGTTTGTAACATTGAATGATTTTAGTCTTATTAGGTTTCCAATGCTTGGAGGAATGGAACCTCTTACATGATTGGATGAAAAATCCAGTAATTCTAACCTTGTTAGATTCCCAACTATTCCAGGAATGGAGCCTGTAATGCTATTTCTGGATAAGTTTAACATTGTCAAGCTACTTATCATTCCAATCTCATGAGGAACATGACCAGATAAACTGTTAGAGCTAAGGTCCATGTAGTCTAATCTGGTCAAATTTCCCAAACTAGAAGGTATCAGGCGAGAAAAACCGTTGCCCCTTAAATCGAACTTCCTTAAGTTGACTAGCACGCCAAGTGTAACTGGGATTGATCCGGTCCAATAACCATAACTAAGATTGAGGGAGGTTAGTTCAGTAAGATTACCTATGGATGCTGGGACATATCCGGAGAGGAAATTATTGGACAGATCCAAAACGGAGAGCTCAGACAAGTCTGCAAAGTGGAGCTGATCCAATGTGCCCTCAAGGTAACACCCTAGAAGGTATATGTTTTGTCACAACCTGGACAACATCACTTGGACCACGGCCGTGATGCACCATAGCACTGCAGGTAACGCCAGTCCAGTTACATGGGCTGGTGTTGTTGCTCCATGTTTCCAGGCAGCCACGGAGTAGGGGTCACCCAGCACCAGCAGGCTTGATTTCCATCGAAGCAGCATGTCTGCTTGATGATCCAGTTGGCTCGCCATAGAAATTGCGCAAGAGAGAAGGTTTGGCAAGACAAGAAGAAGCACTCATCTTGTTATCCAGTTGACTCATCTTGTGTTAGTGAAGCTCCAAACGCCCATATGTTGTTGTGCCCAGTGGTCTTGAATTATATATTATATATATACATACATACATATGCAGAAATAGAAGAACCAACCAGTCATTGACTTAGGCCGTCAACAAATCAGTACCGCACAAGGATTAAAGAGACCTTGACTCAGCCACTGAGGTCATCGGTCTTATTTCGTTCATTCAAAAGAATGTCCCAGACTTGCATGGACCGTGTAGGCACGGGGCCAGTGCAAAGTAAAACTTATTTGAAGAGGACCAATTTGAATCTTTTCGTGCTGGTCATCAATAGCTTTTCTTTATAAAAAAGTGAACAATGGAAAAAAAGGCTCAATTCGAGTCCACTTTTGTAGGCTTAGTGGCTACCTTGCTTGTCAACATCATCAATATTGTGGACGAGCTTGGTGGCAATTTTTATCAGCAACAACTTAACAATGTGCTCCTGCTACAAAAACACTTTTATCACCAGTGAATTTTTGGTATTTTAGTTCTTAATCTTTGATTATGAATTCCAAACCACTTCAATAAGCCTGAGCTCTCTCTTGGAACCCAATATGTGTAGTAGTTTTTTTTTTTTTTTTTTTTTTTTTTTCCGAGCACCCAATGTGTGTAGCTAACTCATGGGATGTCCAGGAGAGGTATAAGGCACGAGAGAATGGGATATATATATGGAGATATTCCAGCAAACACCGAGAAACTAACTCGGATTCAGAATTCAAATTTAAATTTCTCGAGTTACTATTCATAGTAATATTTAAATTCAGCGTCACTATTCAAATTCATGACACTATTCAAAATACTCGCTACTATTCAAATTCGGAATATGAACAGTGCACAAGAACTCACCCGGGAGTGGCTCAAGCACCCAAACTCTTTTGCAACTATTTGGAGCACTAGACAAATATGGTGGGTGGACGATGGATGCATGATGAGTGAGTGATTAGTTATGCGTGCGATTAGTGAATATGCGGATTAATATTTCTCGGGATCTTTTGCAGGCTAGCGAGACCAATGTTTCAGCCGGTCGTGCGACTATGCTTGTGTCAGTCCTACTCATTACTCACCGTATGAATCACTAGCTCGCTTCAGAACCAGGCTAACCCGGTCTTCTCCCTCGCTATCGCCAGCCATGCACACACATGACTCAGGCTATCGTCTCCCTAGGTAGTTCCACCCTAAGGGAACACTTCTCTGTACACACAGGGTTCTCTACAAACGCCGCTACTAGAGCTAACACGAGAACAACACATGTAGATATTTCTCCTCTAAGTTCCTAGCATAGAGACATCGCCCCATACGAACGAGTTTAAAGGAAGGCAATGATTAAAACAGAAAAGCTTAATTCATTTCCACATAGCAACCTTACATATGGCTTTTCCTTTCGTGAAACTCCAAGCACTTAGCACAAACCTTAGGGATTATTTTACAAGCGTAGGAAGATCACGGCGACTTCCTTTATTCTAATTTATAGATGGTGGTGGAGTAATACAACGGTAGTGGAGTATTACTATTCGTGGTGGATGATTCTCAGAGTTCTTCTGAGGTCATGCTATTCATGGTGTATGTGGGAAAGTGGAGTGGTGGAGTGGAGTGGAGTCTTTAGTGGATGAGTTCCTGGTGATGGTGTTGGTGGTCTTGGGTCCGATGCTGCATGAATGCACCCGACGTCTCTCTTTATAGTGCAAAGGGAGCCTTCTGGATTGTCCTTGATGCTTATCTTCTGGAGTTATTTCGTGCTTAAGTCTTCTGGTGTCTTCAATTATTCTCCTTTACTGTTGCTTGGATAGCTGGACGGAGCTTCGTTCCTCAATAATTGTCCTGGCTACAGTAGAGTGACTGTGCTGTCCTCCTTCTGGATATTCTTTGGTATGGTCTTCCACGTCCGAATGATTGATGTGCAAACATCAAATCAATGATTCTAGCATGTAGTATTATCTGTATTATCTTCCCCCGGCCGAATTGTTGATGACACCTTATCAACATAGGGAATATATTTCTTGTATGAAACATATATATTTTAATTTTCATAATATTGAAATCTAATATTCTGATCGTTGGCCATGACCACGGATATCCAACATCTCATCATCATTTTCCTCATCGTTAGATATCTGTATATTTATTTTTGACTCATAATCTTTCTTAATATTTTCTTCATAATCTTTCATTATATTTTCAAAATTTTCATCTATTTCACCTCTTATTTCTTGTAAGATTTCTTCCATTATGTCTTTCTTCCATTGAATAGTTATTGACTCTAATTTTTCTTTCATCTTAGTATTAACATATTCTTCATTCAATAGATCTATCTCTTTTTTACCGCTTCTTTATATGTATGCTGTCTGGATGGTCCGTCTTCTCTTATATTTGGCCCTACCCATATTGGTTTCATTTCATTAGCCTTCCTATATTTCTAGATATAGTCTTTGGCTGCTGACTCTAAGAAATAGTTTACTCCCAGAATACTTCTTACATATGAAAGAGCTTGATCAATATCTAAATATTTTTTCCAAGACACTCCTCCATCTTTTTCTTTTTCTATCTGCTGAACTATAACTTCTTCAAATGATATATAAATTTCTAGTGTTTTTTCCCTATATATAACATATATGAGTTTTTTCTCTATATTGCCAGATGATTCTTTTGGTTGTATTTCCCCGTTAATCATATAAAAATATTCAGTCAGACTATTTAATATTGCTAGCATATAACCTTTATATTCTCTTTTATTGTTATATTGAAACCAGAAATTGTCTAGAATGCATTCTTGTATGTCATCTAGAACAATATGATCTCAGGGATTGAATTTATAAGCATTTGGTGGGAAAATTCTTAACTTATTATCAATTCCAAAACTGAAACATTCACCCCCAATAGAGCTTGTTCCTTTCTTCATTCCTGTAAAATAGTTGATCGTGAAAATATATCTGACAAAGTATTATCTTTATCTTTTATATGCTCAAATATTACTTTATATCAGTTTCCAGTAATAATATCTTCAAATAGAACCCATCTCCTAGTTGAACTTTTCTTACTATTGACTTTATTATAATATCTACATATAGCTTCACAGTCTGTCCTTACTGTGAACTCTTTGAATCCTAGATATAATCTAAAAGCATTTATTACATTAATAACAGCTAAAATCTCTCTATCCGTACTGTTTATTGCCTTTAACTTATATTTTCTAGAAGCATACCTACATATTTTTTTCTTCTAACTTTGGAGAGTACTTGTGTGGTTTTTCTTTAATATCGCACCCCATCCTAACTCAGATGCATCTGTCTCTATAATAAAATAATTATCATCTAAAGGTAACTCTAGGGGTTTTTAATCCTTGAGCTTTTCTTTAATAGTTCTTACTAGCTTTATATCTTGAGAATTAAAATGTTTTGTCCGTTTTTCCTTAATTTTGCATACAATGGACCAGCTAGCTTAGCTAAATTTTCAATATAATTTCTAGCATAATTTACTATTTCTAAGAATTGCTGAAGGGTTTTCTTATCATTCATGATATCTGGAAATTGAAAGATTTTCTTTGCAATATGATCTTATAAATAAATTTTTCCCTCTCCTATTTCATGACCTAAAAAATTTATCTTTTCCTTACCTATCTCCATTTTCCTTTTAAACAATATTAACCCATGCTATTCTATCTTTTTAAAAAAGTTTCCAAACGAGTTATATGCTCTTTATAGGATTTTGAGAAAACTAATAAGCCATCAATATAAACTAATATGAATTCTTGATTTTTATTAAAAATATTTTGCATTTTTCTTTGAAATAAAAGTAGGGGTATTTTTTAATCCTAAAGGCATTACTAGCCATTCAAAATGACCTTGACGACATGTGAAAGCAGTCCATTCTATTGATTCTTCTGCCATTTTTACTTGCCAAAACCCAACTTTTAAATCAAATTTTGAAAAATATTTACTTCCTTGTATTCTATTTATCCATTCTTGCTTATTTGGGATATTATAAGCATCATCTATAGTATTATCATTTAGTCTTTTATAATTAATAACCATTCTTGACTTTCCTCTAGCTATTTCAGCATGATTTCTAATTATAAATGAAGCTGATCTATGAGGACTTCGGCTTTCTCTTATAGCTCCTAATTTTAGTAATTCTTCGATATGCATCTTAAATTCTTCTATATCTTTAGGTGTTGCTTCTATAGAGCTTGTCTTGATTATATAGTCAGGATTTATTATGTTAATCTTACATACTATGCCATTTTTATCCCAATGCTTCATTGGTATTTCTTCGATTATCTGAATATCTTCCAATCTTCTTATAATTTTATCTATATTCTTTTTAGATTTTATATCTCTATACCAATTTGATGCTAATGATTGCAGAATGATACATTCTATACATGAGTTTGCTATATGAAATTTTTCTATATTTTCATCTAGCTCTTCATCTATATAATTTCAGGGACCTTTTCATCAGATCCTTGAAGTTCTAGATTAGTCTCTCCTAGATTAGAATTTATAGTCTTTCGTACTTCTGTTATATTTGGAATGTTGTCTTGATAAGGAATAAATGTTATTCCTTGCTCATGTATGATTGTTGTTTGTAAAGAGAATTGTAAAAATCTTAATCCTAATATCATATCATTATGTATCATAGATAGATCTCTTATTGTAATTTCATCCATTATATATTTTGTGTTATTTATTTGTACTTCAACATCATAAGCTAGTTGATTATGAACCTTTTTTATCCCAAACATATCAATAGATATTTCTGCTTTATCTTGATCTATTGTATGAACTATTTTTGGACATTTTACAAAATATTTATCATGTATAATATTTTTTGTACAACCGATGTCTACTAACGCTAATATTTTATAGGAGATATTAGGCGTTAATTTTACTTTTACAGGTACTCTTATTCCTATAAT